GGGGCAAGGGGGTGGGAGCACTCTAGGGTCAGGGGGTGGGAGCACTCTAGGGTCAGGGGGTGGGAGCACTCTAGGGGCAGTTGGGTGGGACCACTCTAGGGGTAGGCGGTGGGACCACTCTAGGGGTAGTTGGGTGGGAGCACTCTAGGGGCAGTTGGGTGGGACCACTCTAGGGGTAGGCGGTGGGACCACTCTAGGGGTAGTTGGGTGGGAGCACTCTAGGGGCAGTTGGGTGGGACCACTCTAGGGGCAGTTGGGTGGGACCACTCTAGGGGTAGGCGGTGGGACCACTCTAGGGGCAGTTGGGTGGGACCACTCTAGGGGTAGGCGGTGGGACCACTCTAGGGGCAGTTGGGTGGGACCACTCTAGGGGTAGGCGGTGGGACCACTCTAGGGGTAGTTGGGTGGGAGCACTCTAGGGGCAGTTGGGTGGGACCACTCTAGGGGCAGTTGGGTGGGACCACTCTAGGGGTAGGCGGTGGGACCACTCTAGGGGTAGTTGGGTGGGAGCACTCTAGGGGCAGGGGGTGGGACCACTCTAGGGGCAGGAGGTGGGAGCACTCTAGGGGTAGGCGGTGGGACCACTCTAGGGGTAGTTGGGTGGGAGCACTTTAGGGGCAGTTGGGTGGGAGCACTCTAGGGACAAGCTCCAAAAGACCTCCCAAGGCCTCAGTGGCCCAGCTGCTCACCACTGTCACCAGTTCATTTGTGCCCCCTGCAGGGCCCCTGTCCTGCCACCCACCAGGAACTTTCCCCCCATACCCCATCCGAACCCTAACCCTAACCCTCATCTCAGGATGGAATTCTGGCAGGAGTACCCCAAACCCAGACAAGCCAAGACTGAGGCCCCAGGGGAGGAGATGGGAGGACTGCGCAGGGGTAGGGATGGCTCTGAGCAGGACAGATCACTTCATCCATGGAGCCCACGTGCTTTATTGGTGGGTACACACTCAGGAAGGGGCGACAGAGCCGGGACCATGGATCCAGCCCAGCCTTCCTCCTCCAGGACCACCGTGGAGGCGTCACATCCATTGGGTCTTCTCTGAGGACACCCGGAGGGAGGTTGGGAGTCCTCGTGCCCTCGCCCGGCCTGGTGGGGGGGTCAAGGCCAGTACCCCCACCCCCACCCCCCGGGTCCACTACCGGGGCCAGCCATCTGCAGGGGGAAGCCGGCGCAGCGGGGGCCCGGGCCGCAGGGGCTCTGCCAGAGGCCGGGCCAGGAGCAAGGGGTAGGGGAAGGTCTTGGAAAAGTCGCCGGGGCCACCGGGTGCTGGCGAGAGGCGCTCGGACTTGATGCTGACGTGGGGGGTCAGTGGGGAGGCACCGCGGGCTGGAGCACCCTCCTCGCCCAGGCTGCGGCCCCCACTGCAGGGGGGCGGGAGAAAGAGAGAGAGAGAGAGAGAGAGAGAGAGAGAGAGAGAGAGAGAGAGAGAGCATGAATGAGATGGGGGCCGTGTGAGCTTTGCAAGGAAGGAGGGAAACCCGGAGGTGGCACGGCTTGGGCAAAGGCTTGGCAGGAGGACCTTGGGAAAGGAGGGGGTGGCCTTCCCTCTTGGGGCCTCCAAAATAGAATCCCCGCCCCCCGCCCCCCGCCCTCCGCACCCGCACTCCGGAAGGGCTGGGTGCAGAAACAGGAGTGGCCACCTGGTGTCAGCAGTGGCTGGGGGCTTCGGAAGCTGTGAAAAGGCCCCACGGAGCCCGACTCGGGGTTGGAGAGGCATCGGGGCACTTACCTGGGCTGGGCAAGGCCGGCTAGGGGCCCATCACCCCTCGAGGGCTGCCAGGGGGCCAGGGAAGGGGGCTGCAGCAAGCCGGGGGGCGGAGGGGGGTCTCCCAGGCCATATTCTGGGGGCGGGGGCAAGAGGAGCAAGCTGAGGCCCCCACCGCTGGGAGCCCCTTGCCCAAGCCTGATCCACCCCACCAGCCAGTTTTCAGTTGGCAGGAGGGGGCGTGCCCAGCAGGCAGGTGTACGGATGTCGCCCACAGCAGAGCTGGTGGGGGGTGCATACCTGGGGGGCCTGCTGGGAGGAAAGGGAAGGGTCCTGGAGCTGCGGCCGAGCATGGACTCTGCAGGCTACTGTAGAGGCCTCTCTGTGTGGAGAAAGGGTGAGGGGGAAGCTGAGGCCCGCACTCAGGCCACCCTGCCTGCCCCCTCAGCCTGGCACTCCTCCCCTCACTCACTGAGGTGCTCAGTCCCCCTCGGGCCCCTGCCAGGCCTCCAGGCAGGTCTGGCCTCCTCCCGTCTGCTGCCAGGTACAGGGGTGGCGGTGTCTTGCTGGCAAGGTGGCTTGGTGAGAAGAGAGGATGGGCCAAGCCTGTGGAGCAGGAGACCCCCAGGGAGAGGGCAGGCAGCCCTGTCATCTACCGAAGTCTGAGTCCAGAGTGATGAACACAGCCAAGCAGTGCTGAGCCAAGACCCCCGCACACACACACAAGCTCCCCTGGGACCCCGCCCCCACCTTCCCCAGGGCCTAGGCCCCATGCTTACCCGGGGGCCCAGCTTTGGGGGCTGCTGGCCTGAAGGGGGATGGGCGGCTCTGGGCCGGCAGGGCCTCCCCAAGCCCGTTGGAGTCACAGCCTGGTGGGGGCAGGGCCCCATATACCATGTCTGGGCTGGGCATGGCGGGGGCTGCTGGCTGAGGGCAGAGAGGACACGAGTGGTTGGAGGGCCAAGGAGGTGAGGACACCAAGTCCAAGAGAATATCCCAGCCTCCACCGTTTGGAAGCCCGCACTGCTCCCCCCTCTGGCCTAACCTCCCAGGGGCCTGGCTCTGCTGCTCCTGGACAGCTAGGCCCAGAGCTGAGGCTTCTCACTCAGCATGAGCTTGGCACTGAGGGGGCTTCCCAGGTATTTGATGAATAAAAAAAATAAAATAGAAGGAAAGAAAAGAAGGAATTATCTGCCTTTTGAACTCTTATTCATCTTTCAAAGCCCCAGCTACAATGCCCACTCCTCCAGGAAGCTTTTCCTGCCCACCCAGGCAGAGACCTACCACCATACTCTAGGCTTCTTGGCCCTTTTCCAGTCTCGGCCTTGACCACGTGGGCCTAAGAGGTCGGGGGGGCTGGGGGGTGTGCACATTCATGGCAGGGCGGGGAGTCACTTACATAGAGCCGGGGTCGGGGCAAGGCTGGCTCACCCCCATCACCTGCCAGCCTCCGAAGCTTCTCTCCCGGGCCCTCAGGCCCCTCCTCTGGCTCCAGCTCTGGCCCATCGAGGCCCACACCCCTCCGCTTCAGTGTCTGTGGGGAGGGGACACAGCAGGATGAATCTCCCCCATCCTAGCCAGGGAGCCTGGCTGTATGGTGAGGGGAGAGACCTACCCGGCTCTGTGGGTGGGGCAGAGTGCAGGCACAGCCTGCTCCAGCTAAATCCCATTGACCAAGGACTCCAGTGACTTATCATTTGCTAAGTTCCAACTGGTGTGTGAGAGAGGGACTGTCTTGGCCCTGAAACCACAGGTTCCACCCCCGGCCGGGCTGGCACTG